TATATATATATATATATATATATATATATATATATATATATATATATATATATACACACAGAGAGTACTGGATATTATGCAGACTTGTTTGCTGTTTGTTTGTTTGTTAGCTACTGTTTTTTTCAGAGCCATCTGAGTTAAACCAACCAAAATCTTCTTAACTCTCTGTTTGTAAACAAAATTGCAGAAACTACACAACAAATTACGGTGTACACAATGAATTCCCATAAAGCAAACTGAATCAAACTATTAAAAACTGTAAATGATTAGACCAAGGGTAAAGGTTTATTTAAATACACAGAAAAGATCCGCTCAGATCTTTTTATTGAGGTTTGACGAGAAAGCTTTTCATTTTGATCATTACCTTCGAACAAAGCATGGCACCATCTCCCCCTTCTCTATCCTGTTGAGCCACGATGAACACACTCCATGGTGAATGGGTCCCTCTCCACCTGAAAGGGATGATTACCAAGCAATCACTTTACCTCTTTCCTCACAGTTCTTCCTCCTACTCTTTTAAAGTGTACAAACGAACAGGGAAAGGGTGGCCCTAACACACCCACAAGGCTAAAGCCATTTCTCTTGCACATTGCTAAAAGGGAAATTACTGTGATACAAGTCATCGGGTAAACAATCAGACATCTGCTCACAGAGTACATGAGAGAAAATAACAGAAACACCAACTTCTTGAGTTTATAGATGCTAACTGCAGCAGTAGGGCTGCAGGAGTCTTTGTATCCTCACTAAACCTGACATCACAGTTGAAACCTGAACATTTTATTTTACATAAATATAGATTTAATAGGCTTTTTCTATTTGCGTTTGGGCTCAAAGACTTGAACAGAACCTGCAATGTAATTACAGCTGTGGTCTAGCTGACCTGGAAAGCAGGCTGGCTTTTCAAGTTAACTTTCCATCAGTTTTATTAGAGACAATGAAGGCTTTTCACCGACGCTGAGTCATTAGACTGTTTCGAGCTAATGTATGATACAAACCGAACTCGAGTCGATGCACTTTCAAAAGTTAGATTGTCCTTTCTGTGATCGTTTATGTAATGTTACACTGACCCATTGAAAATGTCAAACCTACAGAAACCCTAAAGTTTAAAATGTAGCTTGCTATGAAGGAATACAACTTGAAACAGGTTGACTTCAAAAATAATCTGTTGTACAGTAGATGTACATCCGATAATTATTTCAGTAAAATCTTTCCAGTAGTTCACAAGATTTTTTTGCTGACAGAAAAACAGACACGTTACAAAATTACTCAACTGTTCATGGCAATGGGCGTTAATTACCATTCCAGGAAGCTTAAAAATATAATCTAAACTTTTTTATTTCAAGTCACATTTAACTACAAATTGAATAGTGGGTCCTCACCTCTGGCCCAATAATTGACCACGGCCACTGTGAGATGGATCTCTCCTGGGTACAGATCAGGGGAGGAGCTGATGGAGTAGTAGCGAGGCTGCAGCAGGGGCAGCTGGGTGAGCAGCAGAGTTGAAGGCATCTGGATGGAGGGGAACTCCTCCAGCACCTCCACCAGTGTGGAGTTATTGTACCACTTCCACTCCTCATACTCCTGCAAGCCCTGTGGTGTCACAATGAAAAGATCAGGTCAAGTAAAAAAAGACACGGGGGTTGCAATTTTTTCACACTGGAAGTTGTTTAATTTCATCCGTCCATTCATTGAATTTTACACGATTCTTCATTTTCGGGTTGCGGGGGTCACTAGTGTCACTGTAGGAGAGGCGGGGGACACCCTGGACAGGTCGCAAGTCCATCACAGGGACACATACAAACAACCATTCACTCTCTCACTCACACCTAGGAGCAATTTAGAGTTACCAATCAGCCTAACATGCATGTTTTTGGTCTGTGGGGGGAAACTGGAGTACAGTAGTCCCTCACTACTTCGCAGTTTGACTTTCGCGGACTCACTCTTTCACGGTTTTTCAATTATTGTCAACTTTAATATTACTCGTGCAATTGGGATGATACAGATAAAAAAGTTAAAGAAAAAATACTTCGGACAGGTGCCTCCATTTTGTAGTTTTCTTTCAATAAGCCTGTACTGTAATGCCAGTCCAAAAGAACTACACTACCCAGAAGCCAACAGTGCTTCTGTCCGCTGCTTTCTGCCGAAATGGAGGAAAAGTTTTGATCCGATCCGAGCCTGACTAAAAAGTCCGGTACTTATTCATATTCATAGTGACTTCTGCACTCAGCAGATGCAGAGAACAGATCAGAACTGGACAAAAACTATTTCCAGCCTCATCGGTCGGTCAATCTGAGTGCTGCTTGCCGGCCCATGAAGTCTCTCGAGCGTGGAGGTCCACTTCTCCGGAGATCACCCAGACTTTTTCATCTGAATTCCTCTGGATTACTTGGACTCGATCAGGACCATTGTGTGGTTTGCTGCTGGCTCTCCGAAGGTCCGGCTCTCTCAGAAGTATCTGGTGCTCAACAGCTGCAGAGAGCTGATCAGAACCCGACCAGAACCGGACCAAGGCTGGGGAGTTCTTCATAAAATTTTGCAGCAGCACATAGTACAGTACATATATGCATGTTGTTAAAATTACATAGGTTTAAGAGTTCAGAACATTGCAAGAGTGTGGGAAGGGTTTATAAAGCTTTAATATATGTGTAAATACTAAAATAAATATAGAGTTTCTACTTCACGGTTTTTTGAGGGTGTCTGGAATGTAACCCTCACGATAATCGAAGGACTACTGTACCTGGAGAAAACCCACACATGCACGGATAGAACATGCAATCTCCACCCAGAATGGCCCCCAGGCCGGGATTTGATCCGGCAACCTTCTTGCTGAGAAACAGCAGCTCTACCAACTGTGCCAACATTTTTTAAATAAAAAAAAATCCAAACTAATAATTACAGAAACAAACAAAAACAGTATAAAGTATCTTTTATTTCTCTCTCGCTCTGTCAACGTTTCGACTCAGGAGCCGGAGGTGGCCACAAGCGGAGCGTTCGCCATTCAAAGCCCAACTGTTTTGTGTGTCATCAGTGACATTTAGATGAGATGAATTTAGAATGCTGCCACCAGGCTTAAACCCCCCCCCATGAAATGTCGCTTTGTTCTCAGGCCGCTAATGAGCAACACAATGGCCGTTAAAAGGCCTGGTGTCGTCTTCATTCTGTTTCTTAACACAGTTAGAAGCACCTCAAATGCAATTAGCAAAAAAAAAAAATGCACATCAAAAGCACGTAGAGGCCCGGGCTTTTCAGCCTTGAGAAAACAGATGGAATTCAGGGACTTTGCACACACCAAAAGATAACAGATTTGTTTAAGCAAATCTTTATGTGTTTTTGTCTTTTCAGTTTTTAGTTATAGCCTTTCAACAAATTCATCTGTGGTGCTGATTTTATTGCACTATTGTTTATTTCCTGAATTCGGAAGCCCTCAGTCTTTTCCTTTTGCTTTGGTGACAGTGATTCTGTGTGTGAGTCACCGTTTGGACTCATTCAGCCTTTTCTGCACGTTGACAAAAATTAAGAGGGAATTGTGGGAGGCACAGTAATGGGGGTATGGCTCTTGGTTAGTGCGGTTTCCGGATTTAATTTGGCGCCAGCTGACTCCTACTGTACACATTTATAACGGTGCATCAAATCTAATTTCAGACTTAAGTGTCTCCCATATTTTAGCAACAACAATAAATGTGTTTACTGATTCAGCCTAAATGCGTGCATTCAAAACGCTTTACTTAAAAGTGAAAACTTGCGGTTGTCTAGTGCACATTTTTAGAAATAACTTGTGTGGGTGGAAAGCAAACCCTTCATGTCTATACAAACGAGGTAAGTGATCAGTGCTGCAGCAGCTCAGTACAGGTCAAATTAGGAGCAAACAACTCAAAAACTAAATGTTTTTACCTTGCTGAGGAGCTCTAATTTCTTTTTCTGTTGCTCGTCGGTTGCCAGAGCGGCAAACTGCTGCAGCAGCACCGGGGTCGGTGGTGTGGTGATGTCCAGGAAGTACTGGAACGCTTGATAAATGGTGCAAGGAGGGATCCGAGTCTCATTTGTCCAGTTACTGATAACTCCTGTAGACAAAGAAGAGGGAAAAGCTGCTCAGTTTACGCTACACGTCAACACATGATCAAATTTCTGCAGCCACGTTATTGCTCGTTTAGCCTATTTTTGGTTTATGTTGGCTATAAAAGTGTTTATTTAAGCATTGGTTTCATGTTTTGATCATTTACATTTTTTGGAAATATTTAGGGCAAAAAAACATCTAAGTCAAGGCCATGTCAGATGGTCTGAAATACATGAAAACAAAATGCGATATTGTTCTGCACAATACTGTCAAGTAAATCTGGTTGGCTGACTCCAAAAGACACAATAAATTTAGTTTAATATAATATGAGTTTGCATGTTCAACAACAGTTGTCATATTAGCTAAAAGCAGAAATGCAAGATGCAACTTGAAATATCAGCAACTCAGTGCAGTTTATACAATAAGCTGCAAGAAGAAAGTGTTGCATTTTTTTTTCAGGTAAAAAGGCTCTAACATTGTATAATTTAAATATATATATATATATATATATATATATATATATATATATATATATATATATATATATATATATTCTTTACTGAGGTGCAGTCTCTGTGTGAATAACAGAAAGATACTGACTTTTGCTACACAATTCATTTAACTGATGTCGTTTATTCACAAAGACTATAAAAGCAAGAAGCAGGTAATAAAACGTTTCAGTCAAAAACGTGCATGCAACAGATAACTTGTTTAAATCCTAAATTTAAACGATTCCTTCAATGTCCTGCACAAAGTTTTTTTTCTTCCGTTTGTCTGCTTTCCATTATTTCATGTCTCATCTGACATTTTAATAACTCAGTCATAGTCATGGCCAAGTGATTAAAGTTTGTTTAGGGTTTTATGCACTTGATTAATCATAGATGTAAGAATTTTCATTGTTAAGGTTAAAAAAACTACACATTGTGATGATTATTACATTGTAATGTCAGCTCAAATTACAATTATCATCCTGTGACATATACTCTGCACTATACAACCCCTCCTCCAAATAAACAAACAGTTTAACAAATCTTTGACATCTCATAATTGGTAACCATGATTTGTGACACCATGGACATTTGAACATGTGGACAAATGTGCCCATCTCACATATTTCTGTTGAGTCTGATGTAAACTTCTCCAGTTTAGGGATTTTTTTTTTTTTTTGTCAACATGGAATGTGTATGATCCATTTATCCTTCTATTTAAACCACTAACCAGACAATGTAAAAAAAAACTAAAAAAAAAAAAACTTTGCCATGTATGATTTTATTAATTAGTTTAGAATAAAATATAGCGTCTGTCATGTATTGGTCAACATCTGTAGTTTCTGAATCAAATATTTATCATCACCACATGCCTGATAATATACAGCACATGCATGTGTGTATGCTGTTAGCAAAATATCTCATTAATCAATGGACAGTTTTTAAGGAATCTCTTAGAAAATGATATTTTAATGTACCTACACCTGATTAATGTTTGAAGCAAATCTAATTAAAGATGGCTGACTCTACTGATGAACCTTAGCAAACATATAATGAAGCTAATTTTATATGTTAAGCAAAAACTTAGTGTCATAGTAGCTGACGGTCATTCCAAACCTAAACTTCAAGCATTACCCGTCCTATGAGATCTTGTGATATTATGTGCAACTGAACACGACGTCAAAATTCAAGATAAATTGATCTCATCTTAAAAATCAGGCACGAAAAGTGACAAGCAATACACATTTACTCAAGGACTGATAAGTTCAATTGAAAGGCTATATTTCATGGACTTTGCACGTAGAATATTGAAAACGCCTCAGCTATAATTTGTATGTGGGGATAAAAACCTCACTCAAGTATCTTTACAGTTTGTATAAATGCTAAACTAAAAATGATCCTGTTGTTTTTAACACCAGGGTGGTTGCCGTTGGAAACAGGAAAAAGCCTTTTGTAGAAGAAGGCAGTAAACCTCTATCAAGATTGGCTTTACTTGTTAGGATAAATTCTGATCAAGCACAGCGTTAGGGAGAAAAATGAATAAAACCACGTTCTTCACAGTCCCAATGAACATCATGGTTGCACCATCCAGTGCACCACATCTGCCAATAAGCAGCTACATTGAAAACAAATCTCTGGCTACGTGTGACTTTGTGTTATCTGCTGAGACTGGAGAAACTGTATCTTATTGACATTTTTGTTTTGACGCTGTGCCCAGCTTTCGAACAGCAGCCCTCCCGACTACACGCCTACTGCATTCACAGTGACGCGACATTGTTAATAACATCACCCACCCAGGGCAGTGCTCCTCTCTTCCAGGAATTCCACTTTGATGATTTGATTGACGGGTGAAGCATCCTCCAGTTTGTCTATGAGCGCCGTTACCAGGTCCTCGTGGTTGCCAGGGAAGATGCCCAGATGGTCGCCAGGCTTGTAGCTCAGGCTGTCGTGGTTGTTTGAGTGAAGCCGCACTAATATGGTGGAGCGGCTGAAAAACGAGATCAGAGATTTATGAGAAAAGACGAGGAAAAAGAAAACGCGTTTTCCAGTCTGTTTTCTTCAGACCACGCGTCACATCAATGTAAACAAAATGAATGAATTAGCCGTATGAAGGATGTGCATGTAAACAAAATTTGTTACTATTTCTTTGTGAAAAAGTTTTTATTTCTGTGCCGACATACTTGGATTTGGGGCTTTGTAAGTTTTGGGCTTCTATCATCTTTGCTCCATAAACTTTCTTCTTGTGGATGCTGCATAACGCTATAAGGCAGACAGAAAACAAGCAATTTACAAAAAAACAAACATTGACATAATTTATATATTCAAAATGTCAACCTAATCTACCTTTTCCTCAGTGAGTTGGACAAAAACATCAAGACCAAATGTCAATTTTAAAACAAGACCCAAATGTAGATTAGCATGAAGAGTGGAATAGTTTTGATGGTGTAACAGAGTGTAACTATTGTATATTTTATCAAACAACAATGGGCAGAACCAATTTCAAAGTGCTGCTGCACAGATATACAATACAGCATAAGTAATTTGTGTGGGGGCGCTTTACAAGCACAATTATACTAATTGTAACCTTTTCAGAGCTTGTTATTAGCAACAACAAACACACAAAAGGTGTCCATATTACAAATTAAAAACAAATCCTTTTTAAGTAAACTGTCTTTTTCCTGTTTCTTGCTTTTTTTTTTTTTTTTATTGCACATAAACTTTATAGGTTGGGTCCTGGCACTTGCTTTATGCATAACACAGATATACAGACCCTTTCCAAACAATTAGAATATCATGGGAAAGTTGTTTAACTTCCATAACTGCATTTAAAATGTTAATATTTAATTGATGATAGATTCAGGGCCCACAATTTAAACAATTTCAAGTATTTGTTTATTTTTACATACTTTGGGCTTCCAGCTTATGAAACCCACGAAAACAGGAGTTCAAAAAATTAGAATACTGTGAAGACATCAGTCCACACTACTTCTCAGTTTTTGCAGGAAAAAAAAGAGAAATTAGGATCACAACAAATCAATCAAAATATGGTACTTTCAAAACGATAAGTCAGTCTTCAATACTTGGTTGTGAATCCCTTTGCCTTAATCACTGCCTCAATGTGATGTGACATTGAGACAATCATCCTGTGGCATTGACTGGGAGTTATGGAAGCTCAGATTTCCTTGATGCTTGTGGTCAGCTCTTCTTTGTTGTTGGGGCTGGCGTCCCTCATGTTCCTCTTGAGAACACTCCATAGATTCTCAGTGGGGTTTAGGTCCAGAGAGTTGGCTGGCCAGTCAAGCACTGTGGCATGGGCATCAAACCAGGTTTTGGTGCTTCTGGCGGCATGGGCAGGGACCAGGTCCTGCTGGAAGATGAAATCTGCATCTCCATACAGATCCTCAGCAGAAAGAATCATGAAGTCCTGTAAAACATTCTGGTAGACTGTTGTGGTGACCTTGGATTTAAGAAAGCAGAGTTTACCAACACCTGCGCTGGACATTGCACCCCAAATCATGACTGTGGATATTTCACACTGGACCTCAACCAGTATGGGCTCTGTTCCTCACCCTTCTTCCTCCAAACCCTTGAACCTTGATTTCCGAATGAAAAGGCACACTTTACTTTCATCGGAAAAGAGGACTGAGGAACCCAACAGTTGTAGTCCATCTCCTGGATGTGTCTGAATGTGGTGGTTTTTGAAGCTGTGACTCCCGCCTCATTCCACTCTTTCTGGATCTCTGTCAGATTCTGGAATCTTCTGTGTTTGATGATCCACTGAAGCCCACGGTCATCTCTTTTGCTGGTGCATCTTCTCCTGCCACATTTTGCCCTTCCACTAGACTTTCCATTGATGTGCTTGGACACAGCACTCTGTGAACAGCCAGCCTCCTTAGCTATGAGCCTTTGTGGCTTACCCATCCTATGGAGGATATCAATGATGGTCTTCTGGCCAGTTATGTCTGCTGTCTTCCCTGAACCGAACTGAGCCAAACTGAATCAATTTAATGACACCTGGGGAAACCTGTGCAGGTGCTTTGAGTTTAGTAGCTGATCAGTGTGTCACACTCAGTTTAAACATTCATGTCCTGAAAAATTTGGGCTGATTTCTCCACAGTATTCTAATTTTTTTAAATCCTGTTTTCGTGAATTTCATGAACTGGAAGCCCAAATTATGTAAAAATAAACAAATAAACACTTGAAATCAATTAAATTTTGGGCCCTAAATCTATCATCTATTAAAGATCGACTTTTTGAATGGAATTATGGAAGTTAAACAACTTTTCCATGATATTCTAACACACAGCAAGAGAGCATCTGAATACATTCTGCTTTTTTTGTTTGTTTTGTTTCATTCACAAAAAATGACTTTGGTTTGATTCCAAGTTGAACACTTAAGGTTACTGTGTAGAGAACATTATTTATTGTAATTGAATGCAAATGTGACCTGTTCTTGGTCCTGGAGGAGTACTCCTCCAACACCTGCTTTGCAGATTGTCTCGTGGTGGAATGAGCATCCATCCACGTACATTGTTGCCATATCTTTTATTGTAATTGAATGAGGCTCACACGCTTCTCCCTGAATGTTGCTGGTCTCAAGCTCTAAGAACGCTGGTGTTTTTGATCAAGCACCAAAGTTCATGCTCATTAATCCAGGTATAAATCTAACAGTGTTCAGTCAGGTCATCTGGATGGTTTCTTTTGTTGCTGAGATGTTTCGTCCGTCAGCCCATTCAGACTTCTTCTTTTTGATCAAGATATTTTTTTAACTTCCACATCGAAAATGTTACCTTTTGTTATTTTTTTTCCATTTCCAAAAATTATAATTAAAATTAGAAACATCTTGTCCTAAAATGACGGAGAAAAACAAGCCCATGCATTTATCACACCTAAGTTGAACTATTGTGATCCTTAATTAAATGTTTTTTCTTTTTTCCTTGATCTGATCCATCCAGAGTCGGAGAACAAGTTAGAGCTGATTTTTTTATTGTTGTTGTGTTTGTATTAACTTTCATATGTTTTCTGAGTGGCTCAATATGTATTATTTTTTACTTTTTTTTATCTGACTTAACTGTAAAGCCCTTTGGTCAGCTTTTGTTGTTTTATGTGCTATAGAAATAAATTGACATTGACATTGGGTTTCCAAAATAAAAGTATTAAAATTTTGTCAGATGATCCAAAATGTCCCAACCAGAGTTCTGATGGAAAATAAAGACATATTTATCCATTTTTAGCTTCTCTCCATTTGGTTCACTGTCTAATCCAGAATTTTTAAATTTGCTCCAAACCTTTAATATTATCTTTTTATTAAAGATCCTATTGTTCCACATTTTCCTAACAGAGCACTTCACTGTCAGAACTAGTTTACGTGTGGTTCCTAGAGTTTCTAAAAGTAAAATAGGCAGAGTTTTCAATTATGAGGCTCCTCTATTGTAATTAATGGTATATTATCAAATGTTCAACCTGAACAGCTGTTCTGAACATAATGGACCAAACGGAGAACTTCACCACATACAACTTCCTTTATATTTTAATTAAGGGCTCTGTTACACCAAAATACAAACTTTCAATACTTGCACAACTGCAGGTTCAAAACCTTTAGTCCATTTTAAGGGCTGCCTGGGTGGTTGCCTGTCAGAAAATGGTTTTATGTTGAAAAATTATAGTTATCTACTAGCATTGCTTAAACACCTGTAAATCTGTATAATGTGGGAAAATGTTAAGAGTAATTTTAAATAGCTTTAGAAGACAAAGGACTACAGTTGCAAATCTATAGATGTGTTTTATGGTGTATGTCCCAATTCTTATCTCCCAACACAAATGTAAGCTGATATTTTGCACAATGCCTCAAAGCTGCAGTATCCTTTCCTCAGCCAAGTTGCAGACCACTCTTCCTGGTGATATAATGACTGAATCACAGGTAATTACAGTTATTTTCTGCTGTGATACTCGGCGCATACTGCCACCAGCAGCAGCTCGTTTCGGAGTTATCACAGGTTTACTTACCTTCTGTGAGGGCCGGGGCCTCAGCTGTGTACGTCAGGCGGAACTTGCTTTGCTTCCAGCTGCGGTCGTTACTGATCAAGGAGTTGTTGGCCTTCTCAATGCTCACATCGTCGCCGACACAGAACACATCGCAGGCAGCCTTGAAGTGCAGCAACACAGGTGAATGGGAACAACTGAACCCATTAGGAAATGCATCTTTTCAAATGCTTTGTTTGAGTTCAGTGCAGACAACTGAGGTACTCAAAGAATAATTTTAGCACTTTAAAAATCAGACGGAAACAACGGCATCCACCAAGGTGATGTACAACTCAACAACTTCAAGTTCTGCCTTGACTGGATGACTTTAAAGGAGCAAAATGGCTCTTTGATGGTGTTACAGTCACAAGAGAAACAGAAAAAACAAATCGATTTGGACATAACCTTGACAAGTAACCAACATACAAATTTTCTGCTCAATGCATCCTTTTCTAACACCAGCCTTAAGGGTTAGCCCAATGAACCAACCTTAAAAACTTTCTTGGCCCATGTTCTGAATGATTCCTCCTGGCCACACAGCTCATCTCCCTCTCCCATGCGTAGGATGCGCTCACCCCCCAGCTCTTCAAATAATGTGTCCACAGCGTGGGCAAAGGCGCAGAAGTGTGGGTAGGCCCTGGAGCCAAGGCCAAACACTGAGAACCTGAACACAGGCACAGTCATATAGAGAAAACAGACAGTTAACAAAAATCTAATGCATACAAGTGCAAACCATGACCACTGAGGCCTTGTTTGGAACAAAATACAGCAAACTGGATTCTTAAATGTCCTGGATTTATAAATGTAATGGGTTTATAATGTTAATATCCAGGATTGATAAAAATCCTATCAGTGTTTAGATGGATGTAAACATGAAATAAATCATTTTTCTGAGGGTGCACACATCACCCCCCGTGTTGCGTCACAGTGAAACAACACAGCAATGATGTGCCCAAACTTGAACAACAAGATGAAAGATGATCATAAATGTTTTTGTTGCCTCTTCGTTAAAATTCCTGCAGAATGGCCAAAACTTCGTGACGTATTAGCTTTTTTGTAGACGAAGGGCTGAAGTAGAGTCGAATGTGAAGACTAGATTTGCAAACAAAATGTGTGATGATGTTTTGTCTTGGCCACTTTTTCTCCTCTCCTGTCACACTTGGTCCTGATTGCCACATCTCTATTCATTTAGACAGTTTTTGGTCAGAATCCGTTGTCTTCTGTTGTTCCTGGGATTTGCTCATGTTCTTTTCTGTTGGTTTAAAGAGTTTAGTCTCCACCATCAGCCTGCCTGCTCACTTGCCTGCAGATGAGTCGTCTTTTCCTGCAACCGTGACAGAAATGAAGTCAGCTAGGGGTATTTATTTTAATAAAAAACAGGCAATGTGTAGAAAATACAAGGATTTTTTTAAGTGCTAACTAAAATCTTAACTTAAACTTTATTAGTATAACAGGACATGGGTGTTGCCATGAAATAGATTACTTAAAAGCACCAGTATAGGAGCCTGTTACCAGTGAAACAGTGTGCGTGCTGGATTTTTTACACTCAGCATTGCACAGATCATCTAACCATCACTTGGTAAAAAGGTCAAAAGCTAAAAGACCAACTTTAAAGATCCAGAGGAAAGTTTAAGAAATCGGCTAGCAGTTTAAAAGAATTAGTTATATGGTAGAATAAGTGCTGAGGCCAGATAAGAGGTGTCAGAGTACAGTGGGAGAGCACGAGAATGAAGGGTGCACAGCAGGCAGACTTCCAAACCTGAAGGAGTGCGTCAGTGGAGTGGAAGGATGGCAACAGGCTAACTGAAAGAGAAATTGTTGGATGAAAGTGGTGACACGTAATTTTAGAGTAAAATAATGCTGAATATGATAACAAGTCGGGGGATGTAGACTTTGGATTGGTGGATAAATGAAAGAAAATGCCACCAGAATCTGATTTCCATGCCAGGGCCTTGGCTCAGATGGTCAACCGCAAATTTAACATCATTCTCTCTCTTCCCCCCTCCCCCAGAAAAAAAAAAAAAAACAGAATTATTTTTTATCAATTTAGCTTTTCTTTACCCCCAAGATATGTAAAATTTATTACCACTGGGATTTTGTTTTTAACAAAACAAAAAAAGCCATCCCAGAGGGTGACATATTTGTTTTGTCCCTTTTTCCATCAAAAGCACAGCGGTAGAAAATGACACATATCCAACTTCACACTTGTTTCATCAAAAGCAGCAGTATTTTGACAGCTTGGAAAAGCAGAAGGAAATATATAAGACCTGCAGGAATGGCTCATAATAACGGTAGAAAACGGAGTAAGACCCATTCTTCCTAAAGAAAGTTTTGTTTCTGCTTCAAGAAAGCCAAATTTTATAGAAAACCTTCTCATTACCGTTATTAGAGCAGTTCCTTTAGAAGAGTTTCTCCAAGTACCATTTTATTGTGAAGCAAGTCCAAACTTTCACTTGATCTTAATGTCACAATTTTTTTGTACTCTTACAAAGCATTGCTTAGAATAAATGCTCACTAAAACATTTTACTGTCACAATCATTTAATGTTTTGTCATAGTTCACCTAACATTAGCCAGAGGTCCAGTGCTCTCAAAGTTGATCCTGGCCTCTGGCTCGTCGCTGGACGACTTCCGAGTGTCGGAGTGAGAGGAAACGCTGTTGAAACGGACCTTGTAGCTCCTGTGTGTGACGCAAAAAAAAAAAAATATATAAATCGAAATCACGTAAATGAGATGGATTTAAAACCTCAGCGAACAAACGGCTCACTTTCTGTCTTCTGTGTTGGAGGTGGGGTGGCGCATTTCCATTATGGCAGCTCCAAATTTCTAAGTCAACACATGAAAGAAGATCAACAATCTCTGCTGTATTAAATCAGCAAGACTTCATGAATATTATCTGTGTACCTCTCCATTTTCAGGTGGGTCACCGTTGCCAAATGTGCTGGTCACCACTAAAACAAGTGTCTCATGCTCTAAGTGTACCACATCATATTCATCCATAGACATGACCTGCAGGTAAAAAAAAAAAAAAAAAAAGATCACGATGCAGAAAGAGTCTAAGTCAAGGTCTCATTTATAATCCTGCTTCTTTTTCCTCTCCTTTCCACAGACTTCCCACAACAGATGCATCGAGCGTGTAAATTAAGGCTGAACGCACAGCCTTGGCAGTGGAGGTTGTAATGACCACTCTGTCCTCGCCCCTAACGAGATGATAACATGCTGCTGCCATGATATGTACCACTCAGTTTGGTGCGTGTCTGCCACGAGTCACACTTGGATGCACACAAGCAAAGGCGTGAAGAGAAAACGGGGATTAGCCCTACAACAAAAAGGATTTGCCCCAGGCATTGACTTCTGCCCTCCATTTACACTCCCACTCCCGGTAGCACACTTGCATGCATGAGCTTCTTCTTGTGATTGATCGCAAGGCGAAAAGAGAAAGGAAAATTAGGATGCAACCTAGAGGGAAAGCTTTTCTGTTAACAGATTGGCAAAGCAAGGGGTGCCTCAGGATGCTCTTGAACAAGTGCACTGCTCAACGCTTCAGTGGTTAAAATCTTGCTTCTGACCTGTGGCACTTTACTGCACGAGTGGGAAAGAAAACTTAATATAAAAAATCACTTTCTTCAATCCTTTCATCATCTGAACTCAGCTGCCATCAGCCAGGAGGGAAAGTTTGAGTTTGTCCTTTTTTCAATGAGATGCTGGTTAAATTGTCATTGGATATGAGCTCTTGCTTGACTTTTGGCAACAATGATGCAAGATAGGGGCAAGCGTACCTTAGCGTCAAAAGCGTGCTTGAAGATTTCACAGAGAGTTTTGGCATAATCTTGTGATTTGCCCGTTTCTGTAGCAAACAGGATGGTGGCTTTAACCCTCTTGGCCATGGCTTGGCCCATGAGCTTTGCAGAAAACTTTACGGCCCTGTGGAAGTGAAGAGAGAGACACAGTCCAAGCAGCTGGATCATTCAAGACAAAGTGATTTGAGTTTGCAATCTTTACGTCTCCTGCTACTATCACTAAACATTTGTTATTGAGCTGTTGTTGCAGGCAGCTACGGATGGATGACAATTCTGATTACCTAGCTTGTAATAACCTTGGGGAATTTATATTAATAGCAGATCATACAAGCACACGAGTGCATGCATACACAGGAAAAAAAATAAAACATTGACAGAACTCTGATTGCTCCCAGAGGGGTTGATTGGATGGATTCCACCGCTGAGTACATTAGCTTACCTCTCATGGGTTTAACTTTTGTCAAGAAAGTCATTACTTGTTTAAATTAACATATACACATAATTTATCATCGGTAACATTTGGAGTTGCTTTACACCCTTGGCTTTTTAATCCAAGGAAGACTGAACGACTCTTAATTTAATAAAGCAAGCGTACTTGGCAAGCTTCTTAAAGCCGATGGCTCTTCTCTTTGTTGGTGTCCCGTTGACTCCTTTCCACACATGGGTGTTCCAAGGATCAGGCTTTTGTAAATGGGACAAACAAGAAAGTGGCATTTCATTGAATATTTCTCAGAGTTATCGTTTTAAGACGGAAGCGTTCAAATCAGAAGCGCCCATCCCCCTAACCTGGTACTCAAAGGACGGAGTGAGGTGGTAGTTGAGCATTTCTTGGTGAAAAACCGGCGTGACACTTCCTGACATTGGAGGCACAATCCACACCCAGTCTCCAGGACAGCCTCCTCTCACTCGATACTCATTTTCCATGTGCTTCATGAAGGACTCTGTGGCTGAGTGATGGTCAACTATGGTCACCTTGCAGGTCTGAAACAGGAATCACAAACAAAGAGCTGCTTGTATAAAACAAATGGGCTGTGGGAGGAAACTGAAGTACCCAGAACAAACCCATGCAAACTCCACACAGAAAACCAGGTCCAAACTGGGGACTGAACTCAGGACCATCTTACTGTGAGGCAACAGTGGTAGCCACTAAACCACTGTACAGCCCATAGTTGTGATTGTTTACAACAAAAAGTAGTAGACAAATTATGAACATCTAGAAAAGGTTGGTGCTAAAGGTGCTCCACTAAAGCAAGTTTTACATAAACATGTTTTTGTTGCATCTTTATATTGAAAAATGTTCCAATTTTGGGCTAAATCTTCCTCAATATGACTTTGTAGCACAGTCATAAAGATATCAATATTTCTATTAAGCTATTTCTATGCTATGCAGATATATCTTAAGCACGTTGTTGAGAAGACTGCTTGTGGAAATATTACAATTATCACGAAAGGCTGCAAATCCAGTATGACTAGCCACTCTTGTTGGCAGTCAATAAACCTACAAATAGTAACATTTGCTGTTGGTATTGAATTATTTTACTGAATGATGAATCCACCTGGAAGCTGTACAGAACAGCAATGTTAATCTCCACGAGTGCTTGGTCTTTCCAAAGCGAAGACGTCTTCCTGGTGTCCAAGCCCATTTTTTCAGCAACATCCTACAAACAAAATAGAGTAGAGAGAGAGACGAGGAGTGACAAAAGGATGGTTGTGACAAGACGTAACATTTGTAATTTCTAACTAATTCAAATTAGTTTGTCTGATGTTGTATATTAGAGAATAAACAAAAACCAGTGTGTTACTTCTGCACAGCAAGTAGATTTTTTAAAATGTCGGTCATAAGACAAATCTGTCAACGCTGGCACCCGTGTGCCTTGAAGTGCTCTCCATAATTGGGCCACTCTGGTTTGCTCTGAATTATTTGGACAGGAAACCCTCCATCTCACTTGTCTGAACACTGTTACATGGCACGTGCTAAAATAGCTGCCAGTCTTGTCAGCATTTTATGCCATATCACAAATGCATTTTTACTGCAGTCTCAGAGGATTTGGAGATTTTAAGTATAGATTTATCACACTAAGAATTTCTTTCGTTTCAAAACTTGTAAACCGGTTTTCTCTCCAGCATGCACAGTCAGCCTGAGAACAGCGTTCTGACTGGATCCTTTGGTGACACAACACATGCTCCTCTTGTCACAAGGCTGCAGTCAATCTGTGCTTGCATTTTTTTTTTTCTTTCTCTACATGCACGATAATAATTCTCTTTGGCACAGAATACTACCTCCAGAATGTTGTAGCGTGAGGTGTCACAGAAGTCCCTCACGCCAATCTCTGTGCCCATGTACCAGCCACTGAAGGGGCATCCAGGGAACTCCAGACCTCCAATCTCCAGCAGCATGCTCGAAACTGCCGGGAGACCGTACCACTTAAGCTCCAGGTCTTTGAACCACTCAAATCTGAGGTGAGGAGACAGAGAGATGGTATCTAAGGACTATAGCTATGTCAGATAATTCAAATTATTGTTTGTCCCTTTGAGGTCCGAAAATCATTCCTTGCCAAGTTAGCAATATGCCCGATCAATGGCACCTTTAGGAGTATGCATAACTTCTACAGACACACATTATGCAAAAAGAAATGAATGTGGCTAAAACAAACATTAGCACACACACAAATATTTTTAAGGGCTTTTAGTACTGGGCAAAGCAAGCTGGGTCCATTGCAACCTTCAGGGGGATGGATAACATTGCTTTCAGTGTGTTATTTGTCGAGCTGGGTTTAATCTTGTGTAATGATGAGACACTTTTATGTGAAGGCAGAGCCTGTGCCAAGTGGCTTCTAGCACTGAAGACCAGCTGATGCCGGCTATGGAGTAGGAGCTGGCAATTTTGGGGAGGGTCTGGTGGGGAGATCTGTGTGTCAAGCAATCCTGCAGCACTCTCTGAAGCATGTAACAGAGCTCTATGTGTGTGTTTGTGAATGTTAGAGTAGCTGCTAGGGAGGCTGTTTGGGCTCTGCTTTTGTAACTGGAAAAGTTTTGTTGTGGGAATACAATGCTTGAAATCTTACTAACAAGCCCCATGGCTACCATAAATGCTGGTATACCAAGATACAAAAGATGGCTAGTTGTGTTTTCTGGGAAAAATCAGCTCAGTTGGATTGTGAAAAAAAAAAAAAAAAAAAAAAAAAAAAGATTTTTTGGCATAAAAGTTCCCCATTGTTTGGAAAGTGTTGTAAAAAGATGTGCAAGTGGGTGGATAGGTTTTTGAACAGCCTCCTCAGTTCTTAGTTTGTTACATTTTCTGCATTCTAAAAGACAAAAGTAGGTCTCACTTTGGATGTGTGATTGGCACCTCCAGGACAAGGTCTTCAGGGATCTCAAAAAGCTCAGGGTCATTCCCGTTGGCTTGCAGGAGAAGTGGAAGGACATCAAATCGACCCTTCGGAGCTTTCCATCCCAGCTGCATGCAGATCTAGTGACCAAAAACCATCATATTATAAAGATTCATCAGCTTTACTTCACTGATGTTAAAAATACTGAATGAACCCTCACATACCTCTGTGAACTCCACATTAGCAGGGTCTCCAAGAATACTTGCATCAGGCTGTTTGTAACCTGCGTAACGAATCAGCTGACTGTTCCACACGCGGAAATCATGCTTTCCGTCTGTTCTTTGAGGAAAAATAGTAATAGCTGACCTTGAATGCAGAAAAAAACAACAGAACATACAAATAATTTTATGTTTCAAGATAGTTCAAAAACAGGTCTTGGGATTTAACTGCACACATCAGAGCAGCCAATTACAAAATCTGGAGACTCTTTACCACCAAATCTTTAAATATTCTAAAACTACCAATTCCAATACATACTTGATGCAGACCAGGTAAATACCAGGAATATATCTGGTGTTCTATAAGTAGAGGGTAACAAGACGCATCATAATACAATCTGGTCCCCACAGGTAACAGGTGTATATACAGGGCTGTATTAATTTAGCTTTCTGTGGACACAATAAACTTTACAACTAAAGCAGATCTCTTAGAGCTGCTGCATCATGTACTGTTAAAGTAACATTTTGTAAAACATATTTTACCCAGACAACCTCTCTGTAAAAAGGAGCTAAAATTTCTGCTAAATTCTGGTAAATACAACATGAAAGCATACTTTATTCCTATGTAAATTCTTATTGAATATAGTTTCATATTGTTCATTTAAGCCACACATTTTTCCTCATAGTGATGATTAATGTCCTTAAATAAAAAAAATTTAAAAAAAAAGCTAAATTTTAGGCCCAATGCCAACTACCTTATGCACGTGTTTATCTAAACAACTTAAAACAATTGAAAATAGGCCGAATCGGTCTGGCAGACAAAAATGCAAACAAAACGAGAAAGGTTGTGTACAAAAACATTCAATAAGAAATATCAGGGCTCAACCAGGGCAGTCGGGCATCATAAAGACAGAGCTCTGCATTCAAACTCCTACGGCTTTTGCAAAAATGTTATAAATTCACTTTTGTATTTCCACCTAAACATCTTCCTTATGATTCTACATTTGTCTTATTCCACCATATTTGTTTACCTATGGCCTGTCTGAAGTAGGTCAATCATATAACTCAAGTTTTCAATGGTTTTCAGCTGCTATCTTTGTTTAAGAGTGTGCCTGCATTTCAGAATTGTATATGGGAAACTACTGGAGTAAACAATTTCAAACTGCACCACGTGATATATCGCAATACACTTTCATGTTTGATCTCACACCTTTAAACAAATTGTACCATTTCTTTAAATCTTTGTTTTATGCATTGCTTTTTTTGGTTGCTGCAAACCTTTTGAAATTTACACCAGAAATAAGTAGCTTTTAATCATTTTTTCCAATGTGTTTTACCATTTTGTTATAAATAAACCAGAATGAACTGCCAGTATATAACTTGTCATTGATTTACAATTCAATTAGAGATGACTGCATTTATAATCATGACATGTAAAACACCAAAAAAACGAATCAAATGTCCCAGTAGAGCCATAGTAATATTCTAAACGAGTTGTTGGTCTCTACAGAGACTATTTTATTTTTATAACCATTAACTTAATAAAAATATATAACCATGAATGAGACAGTGACTGATTAAATTGTGCCAATTAATCTACCATAATGCATCTTAATTACGTCTCCTGGAAAGACAGAGTACAGCTTGGCTACCTTTTGGTCTGATCTGCATCCCAGTGGTGTTTTAATGCTTCCACTGGGTAAAAGTGTTATTATGGCTAAGCCGGCTGAAAGTAACTGTGGAGGGTGTGACGGCATGGCTGAGCAGCTGGTCTGAATCTGGGCCAGTTGTGCACACAGCTGAATCTAAAAGAAACAGTCTTCTAATCCCCAGTGAAGTGCAGCAGATCATCAACAATAAGACTTTACATGCAAACACTTCTATTCCTGGCAACAGGTTATTTGATCAGTGGAAGCTTATCCAGTCCCAGATTTTGTCACATTTGTCACAAACTAATAATCACATTACTGCAAACAATTCTATTATGCAAGATCCTACCAGAATAGCAACTTAGATTCATTTAAGAACACATAAGAAGCATGGTCCCATGTCCTTTTCACTGGATACACTGAATGTCTAGAACAAAACGAGACATTTAGAGAAATTAAAAAAAATAAAAACCTATAAGTGCTCAGACATGATTGCGTTTTTAAAAACAAACAAAAACGTGGACCATGACCTATTGATTCCTAATTAAACAATTTATTGGAATGATTGACGTATGATTCATTGCTTCACAGCTGCAAACCAAATGTCAGGGGCTTAAATAATCTTATTTAAAAAAAAATAAAAATAATAAGAGGAAACTTGATGGGCCAAATGTGCTTATAGAACAAACCAAACCACAGTCTCATTTGTGAGCCTTTTCTTTTCAGCGTATGCATCCGAGCTGGCTTCAGAAGGCCGGGCTAAGTGTAGTAATGAGTCAGAATCCATCCATCTCCCATGAAGTAAATGCGACATGTCACATGTGATTAGGACTTGGCAGAAAGAGTGTGAGTGCAGCGCAGGTCTGACAAATGACTGCTTGTTAGCGAGGTCTGCCGCCTTGCCAGCCGGGCAATGAGTGGTGCTGAGACACCGACGGATAAATAGACAGGCAGCAGATAGTGTCAGATAACAGCGCTAAGAGACAGAGAGCACACTGACAGATGGGACAGCGGGTCAAGTCGGGGTGGTCAGAGATGGATAAGGGGTGATGAGCTACATTGAGTGACAGATGGACAGAAGGACAGGAAGAACACGAGCAGTGTTGAAGCAAAACAGGAAAAATAACACAAGCATCAGATAACACTCTGAAAATTCAAGTGTTTTTACCTAAGATTGCCTTTGTTGGTGGCATACTTGATGTGGTTGCAGATGTAGTTGTACATTCCATGTGCGGTTGTGCAGTCTCTGGCATCGAAAACCTGAGAAAAAAAAATTAAAGACGCGCTTTTATCATATTTAAAAGCAGTTAAACTAAATTATTAGCACAATGAAGACTGTTTGGCTCTTTAGACGAAAACGGGGAGTTTAATTAAATATTTGGTTCAACCTGTAGTTTGGACCACTGGATCCTTCCCACACATCTGGCAGCGTTCCTCCAGGCGTGCTTGGCTCCATAAATCAGTTCAGTATCCCTTAGTTGATAAGATCCTGAAGCTTCAATCTCCTTAGTTACCTCCTCGAGCCTGTCCACGTGAGCCTTGGATCCATTCCTGTGAGGCAGGACAAGTCCAGGGATACAACATAACAGCTGACAACTCTGAGCAGAACTCCACATATCAACATCTGGATGGATATGTGGAATTGCCACACTAAAAAAAAAAAAAAAAGTCCTGTTGCAAAGCAGAAAGTAAACTTGTTGACACATTGAGGCCAGGTGCTCCTACATACAGTATGTGTGTGTTCTGTTCACAAACTCAAATCAGTGGTAGAAACTTTACAAGAACTATTAAAACAACTAAACTAAAAATCTACAGTAAACTGTATATTTGTTTACTGACTGTTAAATACTGCCATGCTGTCCAAGCAATTATGTCAGTTGAAATAAAACTGTTTATATTTAAAAGAGAAATATGATCTCATGACCCCAACTTAATGATAGTGATTACAATTCAAAGTACGCAAAATAACTTTTTGGCTTTTCAAAAATACAAGAAATAGCTTTTTGTGACATACATGGAAAGATACGGAGGAAAACTATGGTGTTCTAAAAGAATAGGAATTGACAGTATTTATGGTTGGTTGCAGATATACACTTGTCTGTTTAATGGTTTCCCTAGACGGATAGCTTTTAATAATTACCGTACTTGCCGCTGTACACGTTGCACCCCCGTATAAGTTGCATCAGTCCTAATATGTCTAATAAAGTGGAAAAAACATAAATACGTTGCTTCGCCATATAAGTTGCATCTATTATGCATCACCGCTGGCGCGTCACGTTGGTTACACGTCAGCTCTGACAAATCAGAAAAGTGGGCCGGTGTGCCAAAAATCGACTGGCTGCCAAATGGCGGCCGCGGGAGCATGCACGAGAGGACCCTAACAAGAATTTAACAAGATTAACACATAAAAACAATTATTTGTTTGCTCAAAATCATAGCAAATGTGTGTCTCAGTTTAACTTTTCTTTAATAAATGCACATTGACGGTCAAATCAGCTGCATCTCGCCTGGGCGGTGCATCAAAATGCAGCTGATTTGATGTTTGCTTCAGGAGTTCTGGAGCGAGACGAAGGTGGTTTGGTAAGGCAAGCCAAGCGTCTCATTAATAGCCACTTTTACCTATTAATGAGGCACTTAGCTTGCCATATTGGTCGAGATGTCAACCTCTAGTGACTGAAAATGGTAGTGTTCAATATTTTCCATGTCGGAGTGAAGGAAATCGTCAGATCTCAGCCAATAATTGGGTTTTAAATATGGGGGAAAAACTTTGCTGTATACGTCGCAGGCAGGCTAATTTATGCAAAAGAATGCGACTTATACAGCGAAAAATATGGCGTTTCATAATGTATTGTATGTGAGTCTTTTATATTATAATTTGTGATTAAATTGAATGATTGGATTTGAATCTGGATCAGAATTGGTTTCATGCTTTTTTTTTGTATTGTGTCCTGAGATTACTTTTGTCATGAATCTACACTATTTCAATAAACTGACTTTTATTAAATTTAAAACTATAAAGCTTAAAATAAACTTTTACAACAAGCTTGAACTCCATCAGCAACATCAGTAAAGTACTGTGCAGAACAAAAAAAAAAAAAGTTCATAACTGTACGATCTGTGCAAATCAAACTATTTCTGTAGCAGGTAAAAGCAAATAAACAGCCTGCAGGCTTTGTCTGTTTTGTGCTTCCATTTTTCATTTTTATACTGATAAAAAATACTTAATATTTCTTTCTTCATCATTTTATGACTAACTATGAGTAAACTAAAGAGGTTTCTTTGAAAAAGGAATGAAACATGCTGTAAAAATTGTTACCATATTCATATTTTAGAAGAGATTTCAAGGTTAAGAAAAGTGGTGAGTCAATTTCACGAGGCTGAAAAATCATTGAGGTTTAGAAATGAGAAAATGTGTTAACACTGAAACCAAAGAGCTCCTTTCATAAAACAAATCCATAAATTGAACCCTTCACCAGGCATCACAGGCTGGGCTTACCTTTTGATGGAGGTGTAGTACTGGTCTATGAAGTCTGTGGCCAGTGACAGAAGCTCCTCTTTGCCTCGAACCTCGTCTGGTTTGCGAACAGTGGGGACCATCACGGAGCCAATGCACACATTTTCACTGCAAATTGGCAACTGAAAACAAAAACAAAACACACAAAAAATAAATAAATAAACAAACAAGCCACAAAGGCAAATATGTTCTGAAAATTGCCCATTTTTACAAACGCAAACTTAAAATGTGGCGTGTCAGTAACTGAATGATCCCTAACGCACACTCTGAGTGCTAACAGATTGCTGACATACTTGTTTAAAACTTTGTCAACATAATTTCTCATGAAACTACTAATGTACACACTCACAGAGACGGAGCCAGAGGGGTGACCACGGTGGCACTTGTTACCTGACTGGCCACCCCAGATGCCACCTCATTTGATTGACAAATCACTGCATGTGGCATTAAAGGATGAGAGATTAGAGGAAAAGACACAGAGATGCAGTATACAGTGATTTTTACCTTATTTGATTCATATTTTCTCTTAAGACACACTTTCCTAATTCATACATTAATTTTTTCACTAGTAATTCATCAGCTGACACCCTTGTTCCATTAAACTCTATAGTGTTAACTCAATAAATCCACAACTAATCATTTTCTTCACCAATAAGCACATTTTTGTCACATCAGTAGATGTTCTGACTCCAACCACAGTCTCTCTGGAACACTAGTGCCAATTTTACCAAAAATCATTTGCTTTTCAAACAAATTACTTGTTATATCTGCTACTATTAAAAGAAAAACAAGCTCTGACACTTTATTTTAAATTTCATTATAGAAAATCAAAATGATATTCAATTAAAGATTTTTATATATTTCAACAGGTGCAGTCTAATCATATTATTCTTCTCTTTTCCACTTGAATAAAACAAAACATGTTATTTAGTACAGAACACCTGATGTATCTAAGGGTTTTGAGCGTGTGCACTAAATGTTTAACACGAATGTCTTGTTTATGAAAGAGTAAGTCTGAGTCAGATTTGTTTCCTTCTATTACATAACGACTTGATGACAGAAAGAAAAGATGTAAACATTAATAAAAACATAAAAAGCTAAGCTTGACTTTGTGTGTTCGGTTTAAAACTGCTGGAGGTGGAGTCCAGTTAGATTTGCTTAGAACGAAGACGACAAACAAATAAACCCCGCCCCAAATGGGTTTATCTAAAACTGCAACACAGACAATTGAAGACAAATTTGGAAACGATTCCAGCGATTCTAAAATTGTCTCTTTACACTGAACCACCCACTTCCATTGTTCAAACATTTCCATCCATGTCCCGTCCCTGCTCTAGAAAAGAACTAAACTAAAGCAGCTCGGCAGAGCAACATGATGCGGGTGAGTCAAAAGTTTAAAATGAAGTTAAAACCTAAGGGGTGATAATAAATACAAGAAAGAACAATGAAACAGAAAGAGGTGAAGGAGTAAAGAGGGGAAAATGAATGAGCGGCATGTTAAAAATCAAACAAAGGAATAACTCGTGCTCCGGCACGTCTGCTTGTCATACTGCTCTGGGCATTCATGCCAGCCAGCTGTCCTTTTGGGGGAAAGATGGATCATTCATGATATAATAAGAACTCTGAAGATGCTAGTACAGGCCATTCATCGAGATGCACACGACAGCCTGTTCGATAAGTCAAAGCAATTAGACTCTGGTTTACAGCTTACAAATGGCTGCAGGGTTTCAGTGGGTGAATACTTAAAAGCAGCGGGGTTGACCTTGGCCTTGGTATGGCTTACTAACCAGAGGAAGAGACTCTGGCTGAATGATAAAAGGTGCGGTCAACAAACAGAACACGAATCAGTTGATGAATCTACAGGATGCAGCACCAAAGAAAAGAAGCTTTTTGGTACCGTACTTGCCACCGTACACGTCGCACTGCCGTATAAGTTGCATCAGTCCAAATATGTCTAATAAAGTAAAAAAAAACATAAATATGTCGCTTCACAGTATAAGTCACATCTATCATGCATCACCGCTGACCACCCAGGAATGTGGGCCGGTGTTGTGTCAAAAATCAATTGGCTGCCAAATGGTGGCCACGGGAGCATGCACGGGAGGACTTTAAAAATAATTTAACAAGATTAACACTTAAAAACAATTATTTGTTTGCTTGAAATGATAGTAAAGGTGTGTCTCAGTTTAACTTTTCCTTAATAAATGCACTTTGATGGTCAAATCAGCTGCATTTCAAACGCCGATTTGCGGTTGCGGGAGTGTGCAGAGGGACGACTCGCTGTGCATTTCTTCGAAATGTAACAAGATAACCACCTAAAAACAATTATTTGTTTGCTCGACATTATATCAGAGATGTGTCTCAGTTGAATTTTTCCTTAAAAAATGCACTTTAATGGTCAAATCAGCTGCATTTCGCCTGGGCGGCGCAGCAAAATGCAGCTGATTTGACGTTTGCTCCAGGAGTTCAGGAGCGAGACGAAGGTGGCTTGGTATGGCAAGCCAAGTGTCTCATTAATAGCCACTTTTACCTAATAATGAGACACTTGGCTTGTCATATTAGTCGAAGGCCCTCTAGTGGCTGAAAATGGTAGTGTTCAATATTTTCCATGTCATAATGAATGAAATCGTCAGATCTCAGCCAAAAATTGAACTATAAATATGGCGAAAATAAACAAAAACAAAACAAATACGTTGCTTCACTTTATTAGTTGCAGGCATGCTAATTTATACAAAAAAAAAATGTGACTTATACAATGAAAATTACAGTATTTTGTCTTCCAAGTTCTTGGAAATTGTCTTAGCTGGCCTCCTGCCCTGCTGTAACAGTGGGTTCAAACACCACCATTAAAATTTATTTGTGACTTTTTGCAGGCTCCTTTGGCATTTGTGGCTTACTGCATGGTCTTACGTAAGAGGTGCAGTGGTAAGTCAGTACTTGAGAACGAGAAAAGTGAATTTTAGCACCTGAAAAATGTTGCAACTGCATTTGATAGAAATTCTTCCAATGTGAAGAGTTTACAAGAGTTGAAGAAAAGGGGTTGCGCTGTCATGATCCGGGTCTTTTGTGTGATTGTTTAGTATTCCTGTGATTCTGGTATTTTGTTTAACTTGTGTTTCCTGCTTCTCCAGTGTTTTCCACTCATGTAGTTCAGCTCCTGCCCCTCCCACTCTCACCTGATCCTCGTTGTATCTCCCCAGGTGTTGTCATTTCTTCCTCATTAGTTTTTCTTTAAAGCTTGTGTCTTTTTTCCTCATTTATGGCTGTGCATTGCACTGATAAGCCATTCATGGATTTTTCTTCTAGTTTTCCTGAGTCTTCCAGTCTTTTGGTTACTGAGTTTTCTTGCAGTCATGTCAGCCTTTTGTTTCTGCTTTTGTTAAGTATTCAGTTTCTTTATATTACCTTTGAGCTCTCAGAGTTTTGATTTTTGCACATAGATTCTGATTTTCCACTAAACGTGATCAGCACAGTGGGTTAGATATGTTGCCTCTCATCAAGAAAGTTGCAGAATCGCCTCCTGGCCTGGAGCTTTTCTAGGTGGAGTTTACATGTTCTCCCCCTGCACAGGTGGGTTTTCTCCAGGTAATCCAGTTTCCACAGACTAAAAACATGCACATTGGATTAATTGATAATATTAAATTGTCCCTAGTTGTTAGTGAAGGTATGAATAGTTCTTGTTTGTCTCTTTGTGGCTCTCTGATGGACTTGCAACATGTTTAGGGTGTCCCCAGCCTCTTAAGCCCCCAGTATACTCCTGCGTACGTCTATACGCGGAGGTACGAGCGTATCCCTCATGGCATGTCCATGCAAAGTTCAGTTTTTACGAACGCGTACGTGGTGTCGCACAATAAACTGCCCAGCGACGGACTGTTTTGTATGTGACAGCAATGTATTAAATTCCCCTTCTTCATCCCTGATCTGGCATTTTCTTTTTTTTTTTTTTTCAAGAGGTAAGCGATCTGTTCCTCCTCCGTTGATGCCATGACTGAAATGGTGAGAAATGAAAGAATTTGTCACGAGTGAATTAAACTCTGGTCCAGCATGGCTGCTGGAGGGTCTGGAGATTTCCTGGTGGGCTGGTCTGATGTGTGGGCTGCAGGACCAGCGCTCCCTGTTTTTTTTTTTTTTTTAAAGATCTTTATTAAATTCATATAAACACAGAACACCGCTGCGGCTGAGGCTGACAGCACTCTTTTTTTTTTTCCCCCACTTGTCAATCAATCCAGTAGGCGTGTCAGCAAATGACCAGTCGGCGAACTCGGTTTGTCCCGAAGGTAAACGCCCCTCGTCTGTGAAGCTGCTCTGAAGCTGCTCAGGGTGTACGCTCGAATATGAAGTCTGAACCCTCTACGTACAGTACACACATACGTACGCGTGAATGGATGTACGCGGGAGTATACAGGGGGCTTTACACAGTGACCGCTGGAGCCAGGCACTGCAGCTCCACCATAACCCGGAAATAAAATAAGATTAATGGATGGATAGGTGAAAAAAGAACATCTCAACTGATTTATTTGGTTTTATGATCACAATTTAGAATGAAATGTTCAGTTATGTACAGGTATGGACGGCCCTTTGTGCTTGACATACTGTAGTTGTGATGTTTGCTCTACTGTGAAGCACAGATTTGAAAACCAGGTGTTGAAATACATTTATATTTATTTTAACAGCTCAGTTTTTCATCAGGTGAACACTTGAGCTACCCTATTTGTTGATTCAGTGACAAATTAAACATGTTTAATGGTAGTGGTGGTGACTGTGGGTCTTGCGATGGCAAATTTAGGAGGAATTGCCACTAAAAGTGATTATCTCAGTAGTTTTAGTTTTGAGCTGCTGTTCAAAAGAACTGAAATAATCACTGAATCAATTTATTCAAGCTTGTTTAGTAGTTTTTAAAGCAACGTCAAATTTATAAATGTATTATCCTATAATTAACAGCTGTCACTGCATTTTAATGTTGTTGTGCTCTGAACATTTTGCTGTATCGTTTCAGAGTCAGCTGTTCATTCTGAGATGTTTCCACAAAGATTTCATTAAACTCTTGAATCTGACGAGTACTGTTGCCTATCTACTGGTAAGTCTGATTAGTTTTCTTTGTTTCCTGATGTAGACACATCTACAGCAATTAATCATTGTTTATGGATACAAGAATTACATTTTAAATGTATGTATTGTTTTTCTGACAAAAGTATGCCTTGTATAGTACATCAAATTACAAAAAGACAATCCAAACATATCAGACAATGCAATAAAGGTTCAGGAATTAGTGTTTCATTTGTAATTGTTGTTGAAATAATTGGAGTAATTTAAAAATAAAAACCAATTAATAATAAAAACTTGCTCAATATTGGGAAAAAAAAAACCTGTTGCTTAGATACCTTTTTTGTTAATTTTCTAATAGTCACAACAACAATAGAAGCCCATTGTTTTCCAATTCAGCACAATTAGTCTATTAAAATTACTCTTATTCAGCTTTAGTTTCAGTTTTATGAGGCTATATTTGCAGCTTTCCTGAAAAAAATGTCTGTATATTTTATATAGTGAAATGCAGTTCTAAAACTAAATAGTTTTATTGTTGTATCAATACTTTTATAATCCAGCTCATTTAATTTATTTTTTCCTAATTTTCATTGATCCATACTGCTTAATTTTAAATACTACTTTCATCCAGAAGTATTTATATTGTTCTGGCGGTCATTGTGCACGAGGACGGGTAACAAGTCCATCACAGGGACTCGCAGAGACCAACACGCATCCACACTCTCACACCTAGTGACACTATTTTGAGGTACCAATTATCCTAACGACCATGTTTTTGGTTTGTGGGAGGAGAAAAAACTTGCGTGAGCAGGGAGAACCAACAAACTGCACACAGAAATGCCGGCGGTGAACCTGAAACCTGTCGCTGCAACCATGCCACCTCTATATACCGTATTTTCTGGTGTATAGGTCGCAGTTTTTTGCATAAATTTGTCAGTCCTGTGACTTGTACGCCAAAGCGACTTGCATATGTTATTTTTTTGCATATTCATTACGCAATTTTTGACTGACACTTTAAATTTCGAAGAACTGCAATAGCGAGTCCTCCCATGCTTGCTCGCTTCACCCAGCTGGTGCAGGCGGAGGAACGCTGGAGAGCTAGCAGCTCCTGCCACGATGGATGGATGATGGATGGATGGATGGATGGATGGATGGCGCTGCACTGCCCAGGAGAAATGAAGCCGTTTTGACCAATAAATAAACGCGACGAGTCAGCAGTGACACATAATAAATGCGATTTATACACCGGAGCGTCTTGTGTTTTTTTCCTTTTCATGATGCTTTTTTTTAAACTGATGCAACTTATAATCTGGAAAATACGGTAATCCCCTCAGTTTTATTTAATTACGTTTTTAAGAAAGTGATAGTATGACATGATCATGTCAAATTATATAAATGATGCCATCAGAATTGTCCTTAGACTTTCCACAATGGTTGCTATAGTGACCAAAGTGAACATTACAGCAAATGTTAAAAAATGAATTGGTTTCTTTGCATTACCTTGCCAGAGCCATGGTGGAGAACATCATTGTAGATGGTGCCAGTCTCCCAGTTCCTAACCTTCATGAAGCGGGGGCATTTAGAGGGGCTGCCATTCTGCACAGACTTTATGGGTGAGGTCATGTCCTGGGCCTGGAAAGAGCACACACACGTATGAGTCATTTGATCATGACTACTGTAACTAGATTAAGAAGGTCTGACCCTGGTGACATATGTTGCAAGCTGCTCATAGCATTTCTGACAAGAAGTCCAACTGGGAAAAGCGGAATTGTGACGCAACCCTCCCACTACCAGGAAGTGGATTTGAGTGAAGCAACTGGAGATCGACAGAAAAGTTTAGGATGAAAACAAACGTCATCTGGAAGCTTTTTAGTTTGCTTTCATCTTGGTGCACGGCTTCTCACGGGAAAGCAAAGTCCTTCTGCTTAACTTTTTCCTCACACAAACTTAGGAAACCGGAAACATAACAGGAGCCATCGCTCCGTTTCTGTTTCATTTTTCACTCCAAGATAAAAGCAATCAGCTCTGAACAGTAGGTTTGAAGGTAAGCCAACGTTTGTTCCTGGGGTTCTCAGTAAGTAGCTATTGACTGATCAATGACTGCAATTTAACCCCATAGCTCACCGTAAATGTTTCTTGGGAAAAGCAGCGAGTGATTGTCAGAGATCAGAGTAATCAATGGCACACTTTGGAAGCTTTTTCATAATCTCCCTCAGCATTGTTAATTACACTGTGGAACAGCTTGTGAACAACAGGAACACAATCATCGTGCGCGCTGCAGAGAATACCAACGGTGTTCTCTGGCTGGAATCGAGGGTTTTTCGACTGAATGTGATTTTACACACAAAAATAAAGATTTTATTTCTCGTGTATTTATGTTCAAATGGCAGAAAAGCCCACCGTGTTGCTCAGGATTGTTATGAAAGCTGTGAGCAAGATCATTGTACCATAAAGACATTTGATGCAAACAAAAAGAGTCGGATGTGAAGAAATATGAAGTTTGGCGTGCGTAAAAACATATGGCTTTCTGTTTGACTGGAGAACAACTTTGGCATTTACATTAAAAAAAAAAAGATACTTTCGTTAATGCTGGAAAATTATTTTTACACGACTTCTGAAGGGCAGTGTACTTTTAAAAATATGTATGTTGGCACTCCTGCATGTTTTAAATGGCACAAAAACTTTTTTTTTTCCCCCTTTCTTTTTCAAAACATTGTTTTTTATTTTATTTTATTAAATGATACAATAGAACACATTTAGAATCTGGGAAATATTTTTTTAATAATAAAAAAAAAAAGAACCAGCTTATTTTTTGTTCAAGGCCAAAATAATGAAAATAAAATTCCAAAACAACATTTTTGTTTTGTTTGTTCTTAGCATTTTGTAATGAAAACTGACTAACAGTTTTTGCTCATTGAAACAAGATAAGACAAACATCCTCTACAATGATCTAGTAATACAATTTGCTTGAGGGTAAAATCAAGAACGACCCACCAAGTCTTATGACTTGGCTCAAATGACATCGACTCGACTGCATTGTTCACCTTTTCAAGTTTTAAGGCCTAAAATAAAAACAACAAAACAAAATGAAATCAGGTAAGATTTTAACTTTTGTGTTTTTAAAACATCATTTTAGGGCCATGCAGCTAATGAAATATAACCTTGGCCTGACTTTTGTTGACTGAATTGTTGCAAAGTTTCCTCACCCTCATCAATAAGCTTTCAGGCAAAGTGACTCTTGGATCTTTGTCATCAAACATTTTTAATGAATAGATGTTGCACCCCACGGTGTCACAGTTCGTAGAGCTGTTGCCTCTCAGCGAGAAGGTCGCCGGATCGATTCCCGGTCGGGGGAGCCATTCTGGGTGGAGTTTGCATGTTCTCTCCGTGCATGCGTGGGTTTTCTCCAGGTACTCCAGTTTCCTCCCACAGACCAAAAACATGCATGTTAGGCTGATTGGTAACTCTAAATTGTCCCTAGGTGTGAGTGAGAGAGTGAATGGTTGTTTGTCTAATTTGTCTCTGTGTGTCCATGTGATGGACTGGAGACCTGTCCAGGGTGTCCCCGCCTCACACACAGTGACTACTGGATATGGGCACCAGTGAGCAGCTGTGGTCAATTTAGGGCCAAGCAGAAACGTCCCAGCCAGGAGTTGAACTCACGACCTTTGTGGTGCAACACAACAGTGACTGTTCCACCATGCGACTCCAAGCATTCAAAGAGTGGTATTGGTTTTGATCTATTTACAAAACTGAACAGAACAAATCAATTCAACCAACAAAAGCGTCACAAACACAAGATCATTAAATAATCACATTTCAATTTTGATTTTTGATTTTTTTTTGGTCAGGTAAAAGAAAATGTCCTGCACTAACTTAAAAATCTATAATAAATCAATTAAGCATATTGCATTAGTTTGTATAAGCCTTCGTACAGACTAGTGCAATAAAAACCGTGACCTCACTTTTTTTTTTTTTTTTTACGGAAACGGCTTGACGGTGTGTCTGACGTCTGTTTAAACTGTTAATTCATGCACATGCAAACCAAAAGACATCAGTGTCAGGAAAAAATGTACCAATGTTAAAAAAAGAAGGATTTATTCTGCAAGAACTGAATATAACAGAAGCTAATCTGACGAAGATAATTGCATAATGAAATGTAATTACCAAAGTCTTCCCAGCAAACGGGTTGTACAGTAAAATTCCTCCTGCACCCATCAATTAAAACTTCTGATGGGAAACTGAGATGATTGAGAGCAGGATGGGGGTAGATGAACAAAATCCAGATAATGAAAGGTAAATGAAACTGACAGGTGGAGGGAACAGAGACGCCATTTGTAAAATATTGATATAGATCTGTAGTCAAGTACCGTATTTTCTGGACTATAAGGCGCACTTAAAATCCTTTAATTTTCTCAAAAATCGACAGTGAGCCTTATGTATTAATTCTGGTTGGATCAGGTCTCTCTTGTAAATGAGTCCTCGAGGCTCAATGGGATTTACCTGTATAAATAAAGGTTGATTGATTACTGACCTCAAACTGATTTTATGTGGTTATTGTGAATGAGTTGAATAAAGTTTGACTTATCTGACTGTTTTGTTTCGCTTAATGCGTCTTATAGTCCAAAAAATACAGTAGATTTTAAATGGTTTGACAACGAACACTATTCAGTGTTGATGTTGGCATGAAGCAAAATATGACCTGAGGCCTATTTTCTGCTTCTGTGTCATCATCAGACTGTTAGTGAAGACAGCAGCAGGTGAAATTTTCCTGAACAGTCCGTCACAGTTCCTTTGCAGTGTGTCTGCTCAGGTTGCAGCAACATGGACAAGCCTTTCCACAGAGTAAAAGAAAATAATGCCCAGATCATCCAAGTGCCTGAAATTCATGTTCCTGATGAAATTCAGATGACATTATCTGGAAACGTTTTGCAATTTGCCTGACGTACCACCTGACTCTACGTGATCAAAGCTGGAATTAGTGTCAGTCAACAAACCTGCAGAGGAAATCTTTGCAGCGTGTGTTTTTATACAGTTCTGACACTTTTAACACACCTTTTAACAAGCGGGAAGCCTCTTCTGGTCTAGGGCTAGGCCCACAGCAACAGAACAAATCTGCTTGAACTGACCCAAAACATGCGTCACCTCAATCTCTCCCTCCCTCTTTTTTAACTCATGTAACAAATATTCTATGCAGCTCGTTCTTCTGTGCAGGTCTGAGAGGCTGGATCCAGATGAGTGGGGCCACATTAGATGGAGAGAATGGGATAAGCAGCTGCATGCATTCATTAGGCCTTCTAGGATTATTTCACCCCATCCGGATTCATTTATCAAGCCTTCAAGCAATGTCAGAAGTGGATGGATGATGCAGAGCATGTGCAGATTTTGACACGGTGCAGACACTCAGACCTGTGACCAAAATCAAGCAACATCTACCTCCTTGAGACCGGAAGGATTTAAAGCTGAGGTGATAAGATGCTAAGCAAAGAGTCAACGTGCAAAGCTGCAACATGCATTAATTCATTCAAACTTTATTTATACAGGTTAGTCTCAATGATTCACTTTCAAGAGAGACCTGTTTAAAAAAAAAAAAAAAAAAAAAAAAAAAAAAAAGCCGATGAGGTACACACAACAATAAACAGTCATAAAAAGCATGTAAAATGAAAAGTAAATCAAAGTAGTGATATAAATAAAACGAGCTACATTATGAAACGGGGTAAAATATTAATAACAGGAAGAGGTCTGCATAATTTTTGCATTGAACATAACAGTTTAAAATCCCTTAGAGAGGTCAAAGTCGACAGCTTCAGATCTTTTTTCAAGGTGTTCCAGCAGAGTAGAAGGCCCTTTTGCCGAATTCAGTCTGCACTGAGGGGGCACTGCAGGTAATGATGTCCTGAGAGCGCACGCTGTAGCTGCACTCACACAGTGACATGTAGGAGGAGATGTATGAAGGCAGCAGACCAAGAAGTGATTTAAAGATGAAAATGTACCAGTGAGAGAGTCTGCGTGAAGTTAATGATGTCCAGTTAACCAGTGAATAGAGTGCAGTGATGGGTATGTTACAACAAGTTATGAATCTTAACGCACCACGATAGATAGCAACCAACATCTGCAAGGGGCTTGCTGGAGCATTCATGTAAATAATGTCACCGTAGTCAATGGAGGGAAGGAAAGTAACGGTTATCAAGTTTTAAACACGAGGCTTAAAAGAGAGATGTGCATCGACCAAGATCCCCAACTATTTGTAAGAATCAACAAAATCAATAGGAACACCATTCATAGATAAGATAGAAGGAAGAACTGCTGGTACCAACTTCCTGTTTGAAAACAACATCCCTTTGGTTTTATCAGCATTTAGCACTAGTTTGAGATGGAACAAATCTGACTGGATGATGTCGAATTCAGACTGTAAGAGCTGGAAATCCTTAGCACCTGGTTTAGCTCGACAATAAACAACTGTATCGTCGGTATAGAAATATAAGGCTGCACCAGGAATGAACTGGCCTACATTACTTACACAGATTGTAAAGAGAGTGGTTCCTAAGACCGAGCCTTGTGGTACACCATTGTTGACAGTTAAATAACTGGAAAAAGTACCATTGTATATTATCTGAGAGATAATTAGAAAACCAACCCATAGCGTGATCTGAGAAACCAATGACTGAGAGCTTATGGCATAAGATGTCATGGTCTACAGTATCAAAAGCTTTAGTGGGTGGATAGAATGTTCAGCTAAGCAGAAAATACACCTACAGTGTACATCATTAAACAAGGTTGATGAGCTACACGGGAAAAGATTCATACATATTTTATGCTCTAATTTTTTTTTTTGTTTAGTTTTTGTGATTTTTACCTCATCTGTGTCAGCGTTGTGGTCGGCCACCATTTTGTTGTCCCGCACTTTCTCATTATCCCTGGAAGTCACAAACAAGTTCACGTCAGGTTTTCATAAAATTTCCTGTTTCTTTTACAATTTAAAACTTCAGAAAAACTCACAGAGCAAACAAACCTTTGTCCTTCAGTTTTTGTAAAGAGCTGTGTGTGCTACATTATGCTGCTGGATAAGGAAACCCTGCAAGATGTTTAAAGGATCTGCACACCCACGAATAATTTTCTGTTCAAGATTTAACGGGTGCATGTTGGTGCTGCAGCAAGAATGACTGTATCTCTTTGGACACTTTAGCCAAAACTGTTCAAAGTCATGTCTTTAATCACATTTAAAACAGGCGTTATGGTGAATCCAGCTAACAAAGTAAGACGAAAGTTATTTAATATAGAACAGTGCACAATATTAGTCACAAATAATATATTAAGATATTGAATAAAAAGGGGGAGGAGAGATCCATGAGCTGTTTCTGTGGCAAACAAACACAAACTCATGTCACAGTTGAAGATTGTATCCCTGCAATGGAAAACACCCACACACATTTCACCTCCTACTTTCTTTCACACACCCCTCCCCACCTCCATCTCTGTGAGCACGTGTCTATGCAAATTGTAAATCCTTCCAGGCATCATTTCTCCCTTTCACACTCCCTGTCATATTGGATCTCTTTTTTTTTGCCACAATTTGCAAGAGCATATTCATGCCGACTGTTAGGAATCACGAGCGTCCACCTTGGCTGCTTCTTAAAGCTTCTTGTGTAGGAAAATGGATCATAAGCACATCATTTCATTGTGTTGTTTTGAAATTACTTGCTTTGCAGAGTCAAAAGAAATGGAGAAACTGAACCGTGTGGAGCAAACGGAGAAAGATTTGTTGTTTAATATAGAAAAATCCACTTCAGGCGTCACCTGTTGGGTGTGTCCCTGTGGAGGCCATCTTGTTTTGCTGTTTGAAAAGTAGGCGGATCCACAAATAGAATTTGGTCATATATGCATGCTTTGAAACAAAAAAACAACTAAACTTTTTATGTTGACTGTTTGGTTTGCAGTCTTATTTAAAAGTGTTGGTTAAAATGACAAAGTTTTTTTGTTTGTTTGTTTGTTTGTTTGTTTGTTTTGTTATTACAAAATTATGTGCTTGGCCTGTTTTCAAACAGAGGGCGGGGCTTCCAATGGACTAAAAAAAGAAGTCTGTGCTGTGAACTTGAACGTAGACTTTATGATTTACTGCTTATAAGTAAACCTTAATGCGAAGTTATTTAAATAATAAAAAAATCAGCTTAATTGCACTTCTTTTGTGGTAGAATAAAAAATGTGGGAGGGGTCAAATTTAGTTCAACATATATACGGTAATTAAAAAAGCAGACGAGTACAAAAAATGTACAAATACTTTATTTGTGAGCCTTATATATAGTTTGAGTTGTGGAACTAAAGAAAAACTGTCACGCACCTTTGGTTGCGTTTGATGACAACTAGGGATTTGGAGTTTCAAGTTCAAGTTCATCACATGTGCTACATGAGGTGGAACAAAACCGTGTACTCAGGGTCCCATTTACACCCAAAATAGCAAAGATATAAAGTGTAAAAATAAACCATAAATAACGATCTAAGATATAGATTCAGACATCAGACTAGGAAAAATGAAAGAAAACAGAAGCACAGACATCACAATTTTAAGTAAAAACTTGATTAATCTCGCGCATTTCAAATCCACTCGTGTGTAGTGAGTCCAGTTGCATAAGACGTGTGCAGGTCTTAACAGTAGTAGAGTCTACATTTACATTAAAAAACTGTAAGTTCCATTTTTTAAATATTTCTGAGGTCTTTGATGTTTTGAACAACTTTGGCTGCCTCCGATGAGTCGACGGGGGAGAGGGCGGACTCCAGAAATCATTTGAGCACCATCAAACTGGTTGACCCACTATGCGAGTGTGCTTCTTATAGGACTGAGTTTGTTGCAGCTCATCGGACTGATGAAGTCCTTTGGATGAAAGATGAATTGTTTCAACACAAAGAAACCATCCAGATGACCTGACTTAACTTTGTTGGATTATTTTATCTGGATTATTATGAATTTTGATGTAAGTTCTAATGTTTTGTTTGCAAAAACAACAACACTGACATAACTTTACAGGAAGTCCAGAGTACGACTAACTGGTGTCATTTATAAGCAATTGCAATTCTAGGTGTGTTTGTGGTCCAGTCCTTTTATCACTCATAATTCTTTTCCACACCCATACTAACATCTCCCATCATACATCATTGATTGTTTTAATATTTCAATGCAAATCAGCAGTGTGTATGACATCACACACAACATAATAATGGCTACTGAAAGGCTGAGGTATTTGAAAATCAATGCAACAACACAAATAGAATAAGAAAAAATGTGTTGTGCAAACATTAAACTTTTATTTTGAAAACCTATTTGTTGTTCTGTAGGCCTCCAAAAAAACATTTTACACTGTAAATCACGGTAACAACGTTTGTATCAATACGACAGCAATGCAAACTTGCTCAACTCCCCTAAATAAGATCCTTCACATGCAATGAACCTCAGAAGACATCAGAGCTTGGACTGATGATTTTTTTCTAATTCCACAACACACCACAGGCAAACATACCACAACCTGCACTAAAGTGTTACCACTTGAGCAAGCCTTCCTTGTTTTGTGCATCCCTGGAAAGCAATGAATCACTCAAAAGCATATTTATGAAAGAGACAAGGATGTGCCTGGGTGAGCCGAGAATGAGATATTGATCCAAGCAGAGTGTAGCCTCAATCTGATTTCAATTGGTCGTGGGAGGACAACGGTAGATAACGGAGACGCCAATAACAACAGAACCCTGTGTCGACCATTTATAGACCAAAGCAACAATGAAGTATTGCTTCTCACCGAGAATCTTCCAGATGAATACTTAGACAAATAATCTACAGTAAGCACGACATGTATCAGTCTTTAAAAAATGGATCTTGATGAAATTATTAACGAATATGACAGCGATCATAAGTGTGTGAAAACTGCTCATTTGTTGTAAGACATTTAACCCAGTCCTCGCTGCTGTTCTAATCATTTAAGAACCGCAGCTGCCTAATGTTGCAAATAATATCCTTTTAAGTGAGGTTTTCTTGAGGCCAGCATGCAGACGGCAATTATTCACTACTGTACACTGAGTCATGGTAATGACAGTGTGTGTGTAAGAGCTAATGCAACACAGATGTCACGATGTGTCTGGTTGTTCAGAGAGCACAGGGTGGAGAACTGAGCAGGAATTCTTTCAGTAACTGAATTAGGTGCAAGTTTTTCTATAAACCAGTAACTTTACTTTTGAGGGTCTTGATTTAAATTCTATCTGCAGCGTTCACTGCAGTGGGGGTCGAGGACAAAGACAGGTAAAGGACTGCTGAGGCATAGATTACCTTCCTACTTGAATCTCCTCATCTCTCCTTGCACCGTTGTGCTGGCCTTCTCCATTGATCTCCTTCTTGCTGTTCTTGATCAGACGCAGCACTGGTTCGATCTCCTTGAGCAGGTCGTTGTTCTCTTCCAGCCCGTTGAACAGGAGGGCACTGCGGTCCCCGTCCTGACCCTGCACGCCTCCTCTCTGCAGGAGGGTCTGGGTGATGGAGGGAGAGGAGAGGTTCTCAATGGCCCTGAGCTGGGCCTCCTTGTTGACCTGCTGCTGCCCTGGGCTTTGTGCGCTCAGAGGGGACCACTGATCATAGGATTTCGAGAGAGGGAAGGTGGGCCGTGTGACCCTCACCGTGCGCTGACGCCCGTCTCGGGTGATGGTGGTTTCCAGGTGGGTGGTGTATCCCTCGGGCCCACGCAGGATGAGCACGGCGTGACTCTCCGGCGACACGTTCTTCAGCGTCTCCAGAGCCCGTTCATAAGACAGGTCCACCAGGGGCTTGTTGTTGACAGCCAGCACGATGTCGCCCACCTGCACCAGGCCGCACTCTTCTGCTGCTCCGCCACGAATCAGGTCTGACACAATGACAGGGGGCTTGGACACCCTCTGCTTCACCAGGAAGCCCAGACCACCAACCTTCCTCTTGAAAAGACGCACTGAGATGATGTTGGGCTGCAGCTGGCACACCGTGGGCTCTGACTCCTGCATCGTGCCTGTGTGTCAGCGCAGGTGCTAGCGTCGGTGTGTGTGTGCGTGTGCGTGTGTTTGCCCCCAGGGATTTTTCTGAAAAGGGAAAACACAAGGGCTATTAGAGAAGGAATCGGTGTGTGTTGATTTAACATCAGTCAAACGGGGTAGAAAAGACAATAAAGCAAGTGAGTTTTCAAGAGGTCGTTTTACACATCATTACATCCTGTTGAGCTGAAGATACAGAAATAAAAACATGGTACATGTGTTTCAAATCTACAACCTGTTTTTATCTCGGTAGTTAGCAAGATCTGCTCTATAATATACAAATCAGACTAATGGCTACACTGTTGCTGCTAGCATGTGTTTTCTACAACACTGCAAAGTAAATATCCATATTTGTGTCTATTTGTATTTGAATTTTTCCTCAGTTTTGGCCTCTGTCATTTTAAGGTGTTTGTCTGCCAACAAAATATGTCATGAATTAATTAAAAAAGCGTCACAATGGTCCACAGGTGGGCTTCAAAGTTCTGCTTCAAAAAGCTGCTACGCTTTACCAGGTGCTTCTAATTTAAATATCAGGAAGTCTAAATGGCAATGTAGGCCCTCCTCTTTTGATTGACACCTGTTTGGACCAATTGGGTTGATTTATGGTCTCTCCAGAGCCAGTAATATCGACTGAGAGTCGTGTGTCCTGACGGGAGACCTCCGTATACAGTTCTGACCCGTCAGCTTTGACACCTGTTCTCACGCTACTGACGTACAGCCAATCAAATTCCTGCCACGTGGATCTACAACGTTTGCAGGGAAAATCTAAAATGGAAATGGGGAAACAAACTGTAAAATTATTTTTCAGCCTGCATCAACATGCATGTTCTCTCTTTTTTAAAGGCAATAAATACCTTGTTTTGCAAGTTATTTTCAACTACAAGATGGCAATAGCTTTTACAAGGTGGCTGAGTGGTGTTGGAGAAGGAAGAGGGATTTTTACGACGAGGAAACGGATAAAGACGAGCAGCGAATCATCTCTGGGAGCATCTCGGACAGGGTAGACTATGATTTGGGTCATATATGAGAACATACTTCAAATATAAGTGAAATTTTTTTATAAACTGCTGCTGTTTGTTCATTTAGATGCAAAGACTTTGGGGAAAAGGAAATCATGCGCTTTTTGATGTGTTTTCAGCTGCGTATGTTGCTTGCGTATTGCTGTGCGCCTCCTTACTGTTTATTCATAAATTACTGTATCTAAATCATGCTGACAGTAAATCTGGTTATAGGATATGATTCCTGTAGTGCTTACCTTTTATTAGAGCCCTCACTGATGACTGTATGTAGAAGCATTCTGGAGTTACAGCTTTATGATGTCTAAATGTGGGGACATGCTGGACTCCATGTGGACACTAAGACAAACGCATGGACATACTCTCATAAAATGATGTCCAGAATAATTCTTTTGGTTGTTATGACCAGATTTGAACTGGTAATAGCTAATATATGTTGCTATAGCCTCATTTAATTGCCAGTCCATACCTCCTTCCCGTTATAAATCAATCATTAAATTGTTTTTTTAGGTGAGAAAAAGTCCTTTTGATTGTTGTGTGCTTCAACTTCATTAACTAGTTACAGTTACAATATTTACCGCTGCTGAAGTAAAAAACTCAGAGTGTTACCTTTACAGAAAGAATAAGCTTTTAGATTTCCTCCAAAGGGTTCGAGAACTGCATTTCATTCCATTTGAGTAGGAGATTTTTCAAGTGGTTTGTGCATTTTGGAGTGGACTTCAAACTACTTTTATTTTTTGTCTGTCACCGACATGTACAGAGCTTTATTTTATATATAAAACAACGTTTTTATGAGTTTCTACAATACTTTTAGATTAAAAACTCAGGCAGCCTAATCGCATGGGGTAAAATCACTGCGAGGGAGCATTCAGAACAGTAATTCAGATGTATTTGTGCTGTAATTTAGAGGTTCAACTGCTGGTTTTAGAATATTTACTTAATACTCTCTATCCGCAACAGAAAGGCTGTTTTGTTTTATGATTCATTTTATTTCCACTCAGTTCAAGTTTGAACAAATCATCTGGTTGAAAGAGACTCCAGCCTCCGAGGTCAAAGACTTGTTGATTTGATGTTCAAAAATATCCCAAACAGAGTTCAGAGAAGCCGGTTTCCGCTCCGCTCCGAGGAAAAAGCAAACGTTTTCTGCAAGTGTCTGAATGTTTTCATGCGAGCGCGTTGTCTTTGCACGATCACACAAAATGCATGAGACTCGAGCAGATCCTCCCCCGCTGCTTCTGCTGCTCGAGTCTTTTATTTTCTCCACTTTCATTGTCTGTGCAAGTGAACCCAACAGCAACAGCCTGTGTCAGACGCTTTGCTGTCTTTAATGTAAAAGCCACATTAAAATAAGTCAGTCTCTGCTAAAAGTCGTTGCTTTTTTCGCCTTGAGGGACGGTGGCGTCGCCGGGAATGTGCAGAGTGTCAGAGAACAGGAGCTCTCGGAGCACAGTGGATGTGGGGGGGGCAGCAGGGCGTGGGGTTTCAGCACCATGGACAGCGTTCAGCCCAGCCTTCACAGCTGAATGCTGCGTCCTGTGCTCCTCATTTCACCGCTTTCCAAACTGTTCAGAGGGAGAAGTTTGACTCAGCACAAGGAGTCAGGAAAATAGATTCTGCAGCTTCGAAGAAAACTTCCTCAGAGAAACAAAAGAGGCCCTGCAACCAGTTTAGCCAGTTTTTTTTAAAACAATCTATCAGTAAAATCCCACATCAGAGTGTCCTGACCTCAGATCAGAAACTGGTGGTGCTTATTCATAAATACCACAAACTGTGCTGCAGGAGTAACTTCTTCAGGCGGTTCTTTACTTCTCAGCTGCTCCCCACCGAGTTCAGGAATGACCGAGATGGGATGTGCAAATCAAAGGAACATGTGCTCTGAATATGGAGATTAAGAATTTATTCCTTCCTTTTTTTTTTTTTTTTTCTGGGAATGATGAAGTGATTGGCTTTGGATTTGTTTGATATTAATATAACCTAAAATTAGCATATAGTTTTTGTAGAACCTTTCAAACCGGACAGATGATTAATAAAACCGAAAAACAGAATGGATGCATTTAATTAGATTTTTATTTTTATTTTATTCCAACATAAAGCCATTACAGTTTACTGGCGGTTTGTTGCATCTAAAGTCTTGAACATTTTATTGCAGCTGCTCAAAAAATTATGACTGCAAATTTTAGTTTTTAAAAAACAGTATTTATGAAGATTATCTCATATATATATATATATTACATTAAGATCATATGCATATTGAATGTTTCATTTTGTGCAGCACTTCTTCAGTTCGCAGCGAAAATGATTAAAATTGCAGCTTACAAGTCAGAAGTTTAGAGATTCTTTGTCAAACCCTGTTTTTTAGCGTCTGTGTTTAAGTTTTATTGTGTACTCATGGAGAGCAAGATGAATTAAGTGAAGGTCGGGGATGCATAAATAATCCACACACTGATGAGAAACGAACATTTCTCTCAGGTTTTCAGGCTGATTGTGTCACGCGCGTCAGTAAGGTGAGGTATTTCTGGTTTGGTTGACTAATCAAGCAACGCAAAGTTCTAGATCTCCAATCGATCACATTTAAAGCAACATTATTTATCGAGTCAAAGCAAAAGAAAAAAGAATATTCACGTGTGAACAAAGCAGTCACATTTTCCCTGCTGATATAAACCAACTTATAAAAAAAATATTTAACTTAAAAATCCAAGGCCAAGTACAAATCTTTGGTTGGCTTTCTTTCTGCACGGTCATGTTTCATAGAAACGCGCGCGGGCTGTGTTGATTTTCCTCAGCAACAAGTTCTGGTGACACTTTGCGAGCAGAAAGTAAAAACGCCCCCAATAAGACCTTCAAGTCACACGTTTCTCTGCTCCAAACATCTTTTGTCCTAAAGAAAGCGACTCTGTAGTTGACTTTGGTAACGGTCCATGGAGCTCGGCAGCAGCGCGCACCGGCGGAACGCGCGTCTCATAAAAACAGAAAATCCACCAACTCACCCCTGAAGCAGGTCGCAGTCACGCCGAGCCGCAGCAGGGGGCGGGGGGGGGATGGGGGGGAGGGAGTTGGACCCAAACTCCTGTGCTCCTGCCTCAGCAGCGGCTGCACATCTCCGACAACACCCCCAAAAATAAACAAACAAATAACAACCAAAAAAAAAAAAAAAAAAAGCTGCGTGTCCAAACCTCTGCGACGCGCTCTGCCTCTAGAGACGAGGCATGCTTGTGCGCCTTTCAGCGCGCAGGGGCGCGTTATAAATACAGAGCGGAGGGAGGCTCTGTGACGCGGGGGGGGTATTTAAATAAACTGCAGGTGGTTCAGTCGCCGTCATCACTCAGCATGCAACAGCCGACTCTCGCATTCCACACTTTACAGTCACAGGATCGTTTTCAGCATCTGATTTGCGCCTTGGGGGAGAAAAGGAACTTTGTATTTGGGTCTCCACTCCTTGTCATTTTGTGACTAATTCTTACAACGCTAACCTATATTTTGGAGTTTGGAGGGTTGCAGCAAAGTTTGGTTTTATAACAGGAAAAACACATTCTTTTTCTTAAAAAAAAACCAAAACAAACAAACAAACAAAAAAAAAAACAGCAAAAAAAAAACAAAAAAAAAACACATTTTGAGCAACACATAAACAACTCTGAACAAAAATCAAGACGCTTTGAGTGTCAAACACCAGGGAAGCATGGTCTCCTTTCAAAAAAACACCAAGAGCAGATGAAAGAATCTAACCTGAGATGAGTGTTGCTGTGGTAAAGGCAAAGCTTTTTACCTTTCTGGTGTTTTCCAAAGTGATCCCCTGTAATTAGTTGCATTGAGAGCTTCCAACAGGATGGGAGTCTCCTCAGTTCTGTTTGCAGAGCGAACACAAAGACTTGAAGAAGCAGATCAGCAGAAACAGCTGACACATGAGTGTGGTCTCAGTGTACAGGACCATGGTGAGACATAAGGAAAGGTTCAAGAGGTCAATCAAAGTACTACAATTTAAAAGTAA